GAGTGGTTATGGCGATGGACTAGAAATCCATTGGGATCTTCCCGCGTAGGTTCGAATCCTGCCGACAACGAGCACATAGTGGTGCAAAATTTTCTGTAATTCTGTGATTCTCTTCGAGAGAGTCACCATGTTTAGTATCAAATCTCCCAATTGCATTCACTGTCGACTGGACTTCAACCTGGGATGGGAGTCCCGAGTGGGTTGTTTTGTCCATCATCTTAATTACGGGGCCACGCCAACATATTTGCTGTAAAATGGCTGCCATTGGCTCTGGACTCAGGCTCAGGGCCAACCAGTTCCTCAAAATTAAGTATTCACCTACAAAAATGTCACTTATAACTAAGCGAATGTGTTGTCGTGGCCGAGTGGTTAAGGCGATGGACTAGAAATCCATTGGGATCTTCCTGCGTAGGTTCGAATCCTGCCGACAACGAGCATCGCTTGGAAAGACATTTTTGCAAATTCTATGATTCTCTTTGAGAGAGTCAGCATGTTTTATACCAAATCTAACTGTACAGTATTTACTGTCGACAGGACTTCAACCTGGGTAGGGAGACCCAACTGGATTTCTCATCCATCATCTTCATCACGGGGCCACGCCAACCTGGACTCGGGCTCAGGGTTCACCGCATTTGGCTCAAAATTAAGTATTCGCCTACAAAAATGTCACCTATAATTAAGCAAATGTGTTGTCGTGGCCGAGTGGTTAAGGTGATGAACTTGAAATCCATTGGGGTCTTCCTGTGCAGGTTCGAGTCCTGCCGACAACGAGCACATAATGGTGCAGAATTTTCTGTAATTCTCTTCGAGAGAGTTCCCATGTTTTGTATCAAATCTCCGAACTGTCTTCACTGTCGACAAGACTTCTACCTGGGTCGAGAGACCCGAGTGGATTTTTTGTCCATCATCTTAATCACGGGGCCACGCCAACATATGTGCTGCAAAATAGCTGCCATTGTTTCAGAACTCGGGCTCAGGGTCAACCGCGCGACCCTCAAAATTAAGTATTCGCCTCTAAAAATGTCACAGATAATTAAGCAAACGTGTTGTCGTGGCCGAGTGGTTAAGGCGATGGACTAGAAATCCATTGGGATCTTCCCGCGCAGGTTCAAATCCTGCCGACAACGAGCACATAGTGGTGCAAAATTTTCTGTAATTCTGTGATTCTCTTTGAGAGAGTCACCATCTTTCGAATCAAATCTCCCAATTGTTTTCACCGTCGACTGCAATTCAACCTCGGATGGGAGTCCCGAGTGGGTTGTTTTGTCCATCATCTTAATTACGGGGCCACGCCAACATATTTGCTGTAAAATGGCTGCCATTGGCTCTGGACTCGGGCTCAGGGTTCACCGCATTTGGCTCAAAATTAAGTATTCGCCTTCAAAAATATCACCTATAATTAAGCAAATGTGTTGTCGTGGCCGAGTGGTTAAGGCGATGGACTAGAAATCCATTGGGATCTTCCTGCGCAGGTTCAAATCCTGCCGACAACGAACGCATCGTAGTGCAAAACTTTCTGTAATTCTGTGCTTCTCTTTGAGAGAGTCACCGTGTTTTCTGTCAAATTTCCGAACTAAATTCACTGTCGACAGGACTTCAACCTGGGCCGGCTGACCCAGCTGGATTTCTCGTCTGTCATCTTTATCACGGGGCCACACCAACATTTTTGCTACAAAATAGCTGCCATTGTCTAAGGACTCGGGCTCGAGGTGAACCAGGTTTGACGCTCAAAATTAAGTATTCTCCTACAAAAACGAGACGTATGAGAACATAAATGTGTTGTTGTGGCCGAGTGGTTAAGGCGATGGACTCGAAATCCATTGGGTTATACCCGCGCAGGTTCGAATCCTGCCAATAACGTCTATCTTTTTGAGAAGAACCTCCAAAGGTACACATGAGATTGTAATTTGCATGTTTTTAACACAGCTACGGTCACCAAAATTCATCGTCACCTGAACTTTGAAACGTGCGAAAAATCCTCATTCGAGTGGCTCGTGAACTATGTCCACGTTTGGACTTCCTGAATAGAGCAGTCCACGCGTCGCCTGCAGCCTTTTGTCCGTGGTGAGCGTGAGGGAATGCGTGTCAATGTACACATCAAACTATCACAGAACAAATGAGTTGCACACCCTCGGTCGCACGACTGGAACTGAAATGTAAGTGGGAATAGTCTGGTGTCCTGTTTTTAGATTAAGGTGGAGTGGAAATGAAGGAATGACTGTCGAAATGTAATATGTGCGTGGTGCGTGCGCTCAGAGGGTGAGAGAAGTGCGCAAAAGCTCACTCGAGCAGCTTTGAGGGAACATTGCATACAGTATGAATACAATGAAGGAAACCAGTAAAATTGTCAACAAAGCAATGAAGGACAGCAACTGCTGTGCAGAAAATAACATTCCACTCTAAATTACCCCACTCCCTGTGATAAACTCACATTTCCCCCCCCCATTTCGACGTTTTAGGAACTGCTTGTGTTTTTGTAGTGGATCGACAGTTCCATCAGTACCTGAGGTGTGTGTAGAAGTCTCGTAGCTTCCTCTCATAGAACTGCATCGCCTGAACCACCAGACGCAAGATTTCCTGACCATCCCCAGAGCAACGCTGCTCTGGGTTGCCAGACAGGAAGCAGAAAAAGTTTATTTACACGGAGAGAAAAAAGTGCTCCGAAGGGAAAAAACAATGTATGAAAAATCCAAACCTTTCGGTTTCTCTCTCAGCTTGCGCACCATTTCCATGGCTTTCCCTTCACTAAAAGGGAAGCGGGTTTAAAAAGCAGTTCTTAGTACAGTTGTTCCGATTAAACAGTCATTTGAATGTGACTCACAGTGTGTCCAGAGCCTCTCCACTCCTCCATGGCTGACGCTGAACGTCCAGAATGTCTTGTTGCAGGTGCATCATCTCCTCCTCAAGTTCACTCACTTTGGGCTGTACACACCCCCAAAGCATGGGTGACTTTGAAAGTAGGTACACGAACGCGCATGCACACAGACAGACACAAAAACTTCCTTTTGTACCTGACCGCAGCTGCCGGCAGTCTGCTCCATTTCCCTCCACACTCCCAGCAGTTTCTCTGAAGCTAAAGAATGAAATTGATTCCACATTTCAATTTTTCTATTAATCTTGGAAGAAAACAATAGAGACTACAATGTGCCAAAAAAAAAAAGAGAGATGGCAGACAGCCTCAATGTATCTTCTTTTTTCCCCCCCATTTTGGTTGAGTTTGTGTTTCTTCTCATTTCAAACACAAAGTAAGTACTTGGCCAAAAATAAGGATTTAAAAATATTTTATGAATACGCGTACCACAAAACGAATATTTTCAACAACACAATCAATTTCAAGTGATATATTTTACTCGTTTGCTGTTAACAATTGATGTGCATTTTTTTTTTTAACTTATGGGGACAAGGGTGCTTTGGGTGTGTGGGTGCGGGGCCACAAAGTCTGCCCCGCGCCCCCAAAAAAACTTCATATTTGCCAAAACTCTAAATATGACCTGACAATAGTACATGAGGAAAATGACCAGTAAAAAAATTATCAGCCCTCTTTGGTGTGCCTCTAATTCAACTTGCAAGTGTGAAGGCTGGTAGTGAAGAAGTCCAGCTTGGCCATGAGTCTCTGATGCATGGACACCATCTCGTTCTTCTGCTTGGACAGGGATGAGTTGTGTCTCAGCAAGCTCATGCTGGAAGAAAAATATGGAGAGTGTTAAATAGAGTTGACACATTTGCGTACGTGTTATTTCCTACATGGCTGCTTTCTGTCCCTGCTGCAGTCGCTGCCAGTCCTCCTTCAGGGAGCGGATTGTGTGCCACGCCTGGGCACATGTTCGCCTCAGAGGGCTGTAAGGCAAAACGTGTTTTGGGTCCTTTTCTGGGCGGAGGGGGGGAAGGACATGATTATTTTTCAATAACAATGGTAAAAGCTGGTTTGAAATGTAGCTGCTATTACACAAAAAAGCGGTAAGGTAATATAAGTCATAATGGTAAAAGCTGGTTTGAGATGTAGCTGCTATTACACAAAAAAGCGGTAAGGTAATATAAGTCATGGTAGCATGATGTATGTTGTTGTGGCCGAGTGGTTAAGGCGATGGACTCGAAATCCATTGGGTTATATCCGCTAGGGGTGAATGTGAGCGTGGAAGGTTGTGCGTCTCTGTGTGCCCTGCGATTGGCTGGCAATCGGTTCAGGGTGTCCCCCGCCTCCTGCCCGAAGTCAGCTGGGATAGGCTCCAGCACCCCCTGCAACCCTTGTGAGGATAATAGTATGATAGATAGTATGAGGTGCACAATGTTTGCATTTGCATTGGTTACATGATTCTAAGTCGTATTTAACTTTTAAGTACCGGTACATTTGAATTCATGTTTTAAGGATTTTTTTATTTTTAAACATTTCTTTTGCTATTATCTGTATTGAACTTTTATGTGTTGTATATTGTAATTGGAATTCGTACAGTATTTTTTTTCCCCATATTTTACACCGTCTGCCTTGTTCTTGATGAAAACACATTGTAGTTTAATGTTGGTCATTATGATGGCACTTTGAGGCGGTACTTGGTTTAAAACGCTTGAGAACCACTGTTCTATGGCAAATAGTAAGAACAAAATATTTCATTCTAAAATGATGAGAATAAAGATTTTGAGGACTCACGGACAAAACAGATGTTTTCAGGGAGAGAGCGAGGAGTCAATGGTGGTTCGTAACTACAAGATGAGCGATCAAACAGGAAAATGAGAGGGAAGTCTGTCCGCCGGCCATCTATTTCCTGCACATATGAGACATGATGCATCATCACACAGTGTCATTGACAATTATACCGTGAGAGGATGCTGTTTTATGAGATGTGCTCGTTACGGTGTAATCGATGGCGCACTGCGTGGCCAACCCGTGAGGCTCCAAGGCTAAACCGGCCTCAAGCAGCAACTCCTGCTTGGCTGCGGGGATGCTTGTGTCCTCCTCGATTCTCTTTTGCAGCTCGGCCACCGTCTCCTCATCTGTGACTGCATACCTCAGGATCTTGGCTGTGGTCATGTTCAAAACCTGAACCATCTGAGAGGCATAGACCACAAATGGAAACGAAACAATGAGAGGGTCTCAAAATTTTCTATACCAAGCACTAACCCAAAAAATTACGCTACTTAGCTCTCCAAGAAGAACCAGATATGGATTTTTTTCTCCACTAAAAAGTATGTTCAATATTATTGGTAGCCACTATAACATTATGCGGGCGGCTCTTGTGGAGACCACTTGAGCATCAGCCGCAGCCATCTCTCCAGCTTCTCCGCTAAAAGACTGTCACATACACGCCACAAGAAAAGTGAAACAGGCATGACTAGTACAGGGGTCACCGATGTTTGGCTCCATGAATGCTTTGTTTTGTCTACACGCTACAATCCGGACCTTAAAACTATGGTTATAGTAGGTTGTTTAAAATTGTGTAGGGGCCCTATTTTGGTAGACTGGCGCCCATGCGCGCGGCGTTAAAAACTGATGCAATTTCATTGTCATGATAGCACAAGTTCAGTCTAGCATGTTTGAGGCTTTTTTGCCCTTGTCAGGGCGTGCTGGCGCATGAAGCAGCCTCGCCCCTGACGCACCTGATAATTTGGTAACAGTAAGTACGCTTGGGTTAAAAATGGGTGCATCTTCATTTTTGTGCCAG